CCCCCCACCCCCCACCCCAACAGGACTGCCTGCCTCTCTTTCCAGCTCCCATCACATTTTCTGCAGTTATGGCAGAGTTCTCGTTAGCGCCGCAGCAAACTACAGCGGATTTCCCCACATATGATGTGTGAATTTCCCCTTCGTTAACTCGTGTCTCATTTATTAACCATGAGGAGAAAAGAATGCACTTGATGAGTTGGAATAGTGCTGCGGATCACAAATAATGAATGTGTTTAATTTAAGGATCAAACACAGAAAGGAATAAAAATAATCTTAAACTACTACTTTTGAGTGCGTTCTTATCGCTCACTGCTAAAAGGCGAAGGTGGGCGATAACTTTTTATCATATCTGTGACCAAAATATCTCATGAACCGCTGAATAGATTGTGTTAAAACTCTCAGGAAGTAATTATTGGATGATTACCTTTTGGGGTTCAAGATGGCCACCACAGTTAATTAACTTTGTCCAACATAAAAATGGCTACTGAAATTGTGAATAACATTATTTTAAAACTTGTCCAAAAAAGGTTTCAACACAGTTTTTTTAAAATCTCAACCATTTGATTTAAAACTCTGGTATGTTGGATCAAAAAAATACTTTGACCCAAGCAAACTGGAGCCACGTTTTACAAACACTGTACTGTGTATTCTTCCATCCATCTATTGTCTTCCTCTTATCCGGGGTCGGGTCACGGGGGCAGCAGCCTAAGCAAAGAGACCCAGACTTCCCTCTCCCCAGCCACTTGGGCCAGCTCCTCGGAGGGGACCCCAAGGCTTTCCCAGGCCAGCCGAGAAACATAGTCCCTCCTGGGTCTTCCTCTGGGTCTCCTCCCAGTGGGACGTGCCCGGAACACCTCACCAGGGAGGCATCCAGCAGGCATCCTAACCAGATGAACCACCTCAACTGGCTCCTCTCGACGTGGAGGAGCAGCGGCTCTACTCTAATGCTCGATTCACACCAAATGCATCTGAAGCAGCAGGAGCGTCTGGTTTACATGCAAAGTCTATGGTGGACACGCGTCTAGGGATCTTGCGGCGTCTAGCGCGGCGCGTCATGAAGCGGTAGGTGTGGTATGAGCCTTTGACGTGCATGTGGCGTGTCCAAAGCAACCGACACTTGAGTTCAAATATCTGAACTTTTGCTGCTCGACGCACCATGTCAACCAACCAGAAAGACTCTGCTCTGTGACGTAGCGATGCATTTTTCCACGTGACTGTTTCCTGAATGTTGCCCACTAACCTGAAACATACAGACAGAAGCTCTTTAGCTCAAATCGACCATCTGTAGTTGGTGTTCTGGCTGGAGATATCAGCACCGATGTGGGTCAGCGGCTCGTTAAACTGACCGCGGTGTTAAAGTGGGCTTGAGACAAAAATAGTTCGTCAGCTCGCAGCTCCTGGAGTGAAACTAACCGAACAAACCGCCTCTAAATTATCTGGTGAATTAATTTTCTGGTGAGCGAGACGTTCGCTTGCTCTCAGTAAATAAAGCAAAGCCATTTTCTTCATTTCATCTTTATTTCATCCACCATTCAAGACAGACTGGAAACAAACCAAGACGCTCCTCCCATAAAACCATCGTCAGACATGCGTCTAGTCTTGTTCTGGGCTGAACGTAGCGTGTCCAACTTGAGGTGTTGGCTACATTTTAGATGCTCAAAACACATTCGGTGTGAACCCAGAATTAGTCCCTGCCGGGTGACTGAGCTTCTCACCCTCTCTCTAAGGGAGAGCCCAGACACCCTTCGAAGGAAACTAATTTTGATCGCTTATATCCCCGATCATGTCCTTTCGGTCACTACCCAAAGCTCGTGACCATAGATGAGGGTAGGACCGTAGACCGACTGGTAAATCAAGAGCTTCTCCCTCTGGCTCAGCTCCTGCTTCACCACGACAGACCGGTATAACGCTCGCATCACTGCAGATGCAGCACCAATCCACCTGTCGATCTCCCGCTCCATTCTTCCCTCATTTGTGAACAAGACCCTGAGATACTTAAACTCCTCTACTTGGGGCAGGACCTCCTCCCCAACCTGGAGAAGGCAGGCTACCCTTTTCCGGCTCAAGACCCCGGTCTTGGATTTGGAGGCACTGATCCTCATCCTGACCGCTTCACGCTCTGCTGCGAACCACTCCAGTGAGAGCTGGAGATCATGATCTGATGAACGATGTGATGTGGTCTGAGGACCACATCATCCGCAAAAAGATGTGATCCTAAGACCACCAAAGCGGATCCCCTCAACAACAACATGGCTGCTCCTAGAAATATTCTTTATGACACAAAAGGAAAAGTGCAAACTGTAATAAGATGACATTTGGAGTGAGAAAGATTTTTACTTTTGACCTTTAATCAGATTTCTATAATGAGAAAAGAAGGTGTTCTGATTTAATGCAACACTTCTTACATCCTTATTTATAAGCCTCAGCTAAGACAGAAATTCTCTTTATTTTTATTTTCTTTTTATTATCATATGGTACATCACAATATTTTATAAAATATGAATCAAACGGGCGTCTCATCTTATATCAAAATGTTGCCTCCCTGGATTTTTTTTTCTGCCTGGTTTGTCTTCAGAAGTTATTTGCGTTCCTCTGCCACATACCAGGCTGTTTGCAAATGAGGTTCAACTATGTTCTTTACGTTTGTTTCAACCGTTTTCACAAGCCGGAGGGAAATGTAGGAGCAGCCTGGACAAAAATGTGAAGCAGCTGACCCCATTCTTTGAATCTGAACACAAACATGTCAAAGAAAAATCAAAGGAAGTCTCAGGACCAACAACACACATCTCTGTGGATTTGAAGCGATCTATGCGTCTTTAAAGAGGACATATCCTGCAAAATCCACTTTTTGGGGGTCTCTAGAGGCAGAAAAGTTGGGTTTAGTCTTTCCTGGTGCTGCAAAGATATCTTTATTCTGTTTGGGTTACATTTTTCAGCCCATTCAGTTTTCTTTATTTTTTATAACGTTTTCTGAGTCTATTACAATTATCTGCAATGGAATTGCCAAATAAGGTCTGGACTTACCAACTACAATTTCCTCATATTAAATCTCTGGTTCTGGGTCAGACTCTGGCTCCAACATACAGGCTGAATGAACAAGTCTTCTGTTAACATCTTTTAATTAAATAGTAAATAAAATGTTTCTGTAAAGCCCTCTCTCAAACTGGAGTGGACCGGTCTGGAAGCCGGAGGTGGGCGGGGCTTAAAGCATCCTAAAGGAAAGGTAAAAAAAATGAGCTGCTTTGAGGCACACACCAGAAAAGTTTTGAAAGAGGAGCTGGTAAAGTTAAAATAAGAAGTAATTGTAGTTCCACTTTATAAAGACCCAAACTGAATTATTTAAATGTGAAAAGGACAGATTTAAAAGCATCATTTGTCTACTTTAAATCAGTCGGTTTTACAGATGTCAGGGTATAATTTGTTGTGGTAGAAGCTGAGTGTTGTCTCCAACACATACTTTGAGAGCAACACAGTGCAGCATCAGCCTTGGCATGAACCTTTGGAGTCAACCGTGTTCGCTTTTTAACAAAACATCTCATAAACCAATAATGAAACTGGAATCTAAATTCAGATGGTCACCAACTGACATTAGCCTATATAAAAATGGTGATACCTTAGCAAATAATGCGCTAAAAGTTTGATGTTAGTCGCAGTTAATGTTACTCTGTGAACTCTGTCCTTTCTTCATCCACCATGATCCTGCTGTAAAACTCTGGCATTAAAGATGAAGGGTGATGTGCTTTCCTTCAGCAGATTTTTGCAGCAGTTTTGCTAAAATGAGCCGGTACATGTAGAGAAATATGTTCTTTCAAATCTGATGAGTGTTCTCTGGTCAAAAGCATGTTTTTGCTAATTTTATTTGAATCCATCCTTGGTGATTTTTTTTTTTCTGTAGACATTTTTCCCTAACCGCTCTGCTTCGGCCCCGCAGGCTCCTGTCAGATCGGCTGGGCGTACTACTGCACGGGGGCCAGCGCCGCCGCCGCCATGCTGCTGTGCACCTGGCTGTCGTGCTTCGCCGGGAAGAAGCAGAAGCAGTATCCGTACTGATGGGAGTACCGCAGAGACAGCCGGAGACCTCGGGTGGTACGACAGAAAGGGAGGGGACTCTGTGGACCAGCGCACAGCACATCAGGCACCGAAAGACGTCAAGTCGTCGTGGTGCTCTGCACAGCTTGGGACACTTCTCATCTGACGACTGCAGGGACTGTTTCATAATGCAGCACACACATGGCTCTGAAAACTTCCTGAAAGATGTTCTTCAATGAAAGATGTATGGACCAATCTTCTTTGTAAAGTTGTTACTTTTTTATTTTGCAAAGAGTACGATCTCCCTCTCTTTTATTTTTGTCTCCTCCTGCAGCAGTGGTTCTCAAACCTTTGGGTTATGCCCCTAAGAGAAAAAAAAATATTATCCCTTTTAGCTCAACAAGATTAAAGGTAGCTTTGATTTAAAGCAGCCATTTTTTTTTCTTTTTTGTCTTTATCATTATGTGATCATGCCAGGTCACAAATGGCCCGCTGCCATTTAATAAGGGACCTAAAGCATGTTAGAAACAGCCTTAATGTTGTTTCTAATATTTCTGTGATAACAAGTGTTCAACCACAGACGAAAACGGTGAACACACCCATAGTTTCTACTTTTTTTTTTCCCATCGGCCCAAACGCAGAGAGGAGGAAGCAGTGAGTAAACGCCTGCAGGATTTAGACCCTGTTAGTAACGCTGTGCTGCAAATTCTGCATCAGCATATTTTCAGGTCAAAGGAAATTCTGCACAGGCCTGGTCTTAATGGCTGAAAAAGTTGATCAATCCGATCCTAAAACATGGCTGGAGAAAACCGTTTATGAACTGATGCTAATGAAAAACAGAGAGTTAATCCCTCATAAATGCTGTCTGCACACTGATGAGTGAAATTAGAGGATCCACTTTCCATTACCTGACGTAAACATATTTCTCCTGTCAAGGTTTTAGGTCCTAAAATGAAAAAAAAATAAAATAAAATGAAATAAAATAAAAAAAATAATAATAATAGAAGCCACACCCCCCTCAGTTTGATACAAAAGAGGATTAGGGCTACTGAAAAAAATATATATTTCTGACTTTAATCGCAGAATTCTGACTTTTTTCTCATAATTCTGAGATTAAAGTCAGATTTTTTTTTTCCAGTGGCCCTAATCCTCATTCGTAGTTTGAGAACCACTGCACACAGTCATTGTTTATGTGATGGTGTGCCCTGTGATGAGCAGAAAAGTGATATTCCCTCATTGTTACCTGGAGTGTTTCCATTTCCTCTTTGTCTCTCATCCTTGCCTTAAAAACCAACCTGAAATGCAATAATCCCTGTAACATAAAGCAGCCCAGCGCCGGCTGCTCGCCTCCTCGGCTCGGACTTTTTCAGATCCCATAAATATAAGCAGAGTTTATTTAACGCCTACATAAGATATACGACGTGTACGGTAATGTACTTTATCATGTTATCACATGTTTTGTATTCTCTTGAAATATTCTTTGTCACTTCTTTTTTTTTTTGTTTTGTTTGTTTTGTAAATAAATGTTGAATGAAATTAGTTTTGTAGGTGTTTTTTTTTCAGCCACAGCATGGCCTGAAGGAAAATAGGCCTGCTTCACATTCCTAAAAAGCTTTTCCCACGACTTCTTTATCTCAGGAGCATTCCCTCCATGAATTTCCACCCCTCCCAATCAATACGGATGATAAGGACGGGCAGCTTTGTGAACTTAATTTTTTCCCCCCTCGTTATTGATGAGGCAAATCCCCCGACCTCCCGTCAGCGTATTTGCCTTTTGACCAGGTTTTTCCACTTCAAAGCTTCGGAGTTTTTCCAGACAAAGCCTGCGATGTAATCATACCCTGGGAAATTGGAGCGGCTCTGCGTCTGGCAGGCTACCAGCTTAATGTCAGGGGGGTATCTCGGAGTTCGTCAACCTGCTGGTGAAGTGTGAATAACAGTAATGATAACCTCCTCGTCGCTGTTACCTCTGCTGCTGCTGTGTGTGTGACATTATGTGAGCAGCTTTCCTCTTACTATTTTTAGCTCCTGATTTTACTCCTTTGATTAACAAACACCGAACCCACGCCTGTGTACAAAGTCAGCTCATTTACAAGGCAGCTGCACTCAGTGTATTTGGCCCTCATTAGCAGTTTCATTTTCTCACAATGCTCGGCGGTAAGCAGATAATGGAAACAACGCCTCTCTCTCTGTCCTCACTTGAGGAGCGTTTTCTGCGTGCACGCTCTGATGTTGAATGTTTTAGCACAGCTCCTCTGCGTTCGCTTCCTGCTCTCTCAGATCTCCCGTTGCCGACTGATATCGGCGGTGATCGTTACAGAAGAGTCGACCTGATGCGTCATCAGCAGAGGAAGACATATCGGGATCTAGCTGGAGCGTTTCCCAGCTCTCTGCCGGCAGCCGTGGCTCAGACTGACAGAACGCATCACTCAGGCTGAAAACTTGGCAGCTGATTGTTTTAAAACATGCAAAATGTGCGCTAAGTGGGAAGTTCGGCGGCTCCCGTAAAGATACAGCAGAACTGTTGGAGGTGATGGGATTTAGACTGACAGGTGCGCACTTCCACTTTATGCATTATGTTGTAAGGACCACACACAAGCATCTCAAGCATAAACGGTATTGAACTAGAAGCACTCGGAGAGTGCAAACCTCCGCCAAGACCAATTTCCTCCATCCTGTAAGAGTTAATGCACAAAAGCAGAGATGGAAACACGTTTGCCGAATAAGTTCTGACGTAGCGAACATTTCAGCAGGCAGTATGCACGGGATTTCTTCCCGGTGGAGTCCAATGTGAAAAAAAAAAGTCAGACTCGTCAACCGACGTTATTCATGGTCAAAATGGTATCGGATTAAGCTCCTAAGTTTTCATCAGTCACATTTCACYRTGYAAAACATCTGTTTTATCCCCTTKTATGAGTTTGTAATGGTTTGACTCTCTTTATAAAGTGCTTCCTGGCTCCCCCAGTCTTCAAACTTTGAGGCCCGGCAGCTCTCTGTTTACAAGCCTAGTAGAGACTAATTGTTTTGATTGGTTGTTTCGGAAATGTGGTGTGTTTGAGAAAATGGGAAAAATAGGTTTCATGGTGCAGTCACGCACTTCCTGGTCACACAACGTTCTGTAAATGCGCACATTATGGCAAAAATCATTAAATTTGGTTTTAACATTACTTTTATAAAGTTTGAAGTCCGTGCTGTCTAATCCAGCTCACTGTTTTTTACAGAAGCCCTGTGAAAGCATCACAGCTTTGCCTAGCTCAGAGTGTTAAAAGAAAACAAATTCCTGTATCCGCATCGTGATCCGGAACATCACCAAAATTTAAAGGTGTGTTCCTTGGCCCAGTACCCACATGTGGCAAAAATGTCATGACAATCCATCCAAGTTTTTGAGTAATGTTGTCCACAGACAGAACGACAGACAGACGGACAGACACACGCGACGGAAAACAATAAATACAAATATTTTGTAAGGGCTCATTTGTGGGCCAGCTGGAAGTCACCCGTGGGCTGGATGTGGCCCACGGCCCACCAGTTGAATAGCCCTGGGTTAGAGGGTGCTGAGGGACTAAAATGGGCAAAACCTCACTTCCAGGCAAAACAGAAAAGACAAAAAACTCTAAAACTGAAAATACAGATGCAGAAATAAAACCTACAGAAACAATAAGAAGTTAAGAAAAGTTGTGACATATTTTATACCTAACTGAATAGGAGGAAAAAGTGTGTTTATGGGAGTCATGGTAACAACAGACAAAAATATGTTTATATGTGTGAGTTTATCCTTGGGAATTAGTTGTGTTTTATGTTCATAAGGTTTTACAAAAAAAATATTTTAGAGCAGTCTATTACAAGGACTGCATATAACAAAAACATACCCATATCAAGTGGATAATTCTGAGAAAGAGCCATCAAATAAATTATAAGAAATATAAGGAAGTATTTGAAGCGATAAATAGAATCAACGTTGGCTCGATCCCTTTCTACAGCACATTGGATGTTTTTGTTTGTTTACTCATGATTTCCTAAGTTGCTCCATTTCGAGCAATGAATCAACTTTAGAGGGTTCATCTCTGGCAGCCAGATAAACAGATCCACATCAATTATTTCTAATTATTATTTTTCCCCTGACAGTACCCAGGCGAGGTAATTGCTGCCCCAACATCCAGCTCTGCTTAACCAGAGATTTTGTAGCAAAATCTGCATAAAATATGGCTGCAGGAAAAGAAGAGACTGATCTACGATGCTCAGTAACCATTCGTGGATTTATCATCCACTAAATGAAGTGGAATAAAGTGGATTGTCACTGAACTCTATTTCTATGGACTGTTTTGTAACTCGTTTGCCATTTTCTATAAATTGTGCTGAAATTCCATTCGGCTCAGTTCAATTCCTTTTTATTGTCTCGTTTGAAAGAAAAAAAAACTGTTAACGCTGGCTTCTGTGCAGAGAAAGCAAATAAGTCCAAATTAAATCAAATTAAATGCAGTCCAATCGCTTCAACTTTGCTTTAATTATAACCCAGTTCAGTTCAGCGAAGTCTGAGTCACGTTTTATGAATAAGTGCTTATACAAGGCAGTTTAAATAAAAAATATCTGGACGGGAACGTTTTCACACTTGGTGGAATAACTATTTAGAAGGAGTTTTCTATGGCTGGAAAACAACATCTCCAGCAGAACCAGATTTAAGGAGGAAAACAGAAAAATGTTGAGCTTTGCGGTGATCTGGTAATAAATTAAAATGAATCAAACTGAACATCCATAGGAAACTATGGTAGAACTTTATAATAACTACACCTTATTTAGCCTAATAATAATAAGTTAATAGTTGACCTTGAAAACATCATTAAGGATGATTCATGCTTAATAAATTAACACATTAATGTTTTACACAGAAAGGCTAATTACTTCCAAAACCAACATCCTCATTGTTTATTCATAACTCATGAATTAACTATTCTATATAATGTGTAAATGTATGTAAATGTGTTAGACATGTATTAAATGGTTAGAGGATATTTGAAGTATATCTACTAATCCTGCAGCGCATCAACTATTAAGGCAGTTACTACTTTTTGTGAAGAATATTTACCCTGAAGGGTCACAAGTTCCTTTTCAGCTGTAGAAATCAGACCAAAATCACGGTTAATGGACAACTTCACTCAGGCTATTTTTAGAACACGAGTCATGTGACATTGTCCGCTCGACACTGATGCGTGTACAAACAACGTCAGTCTAGCTGTGTTTAAACTTGAACAAATTTGGGAAGATAATGACTGGTAGATAATTAGTTATTAGCGGTACTGCATTTTAATTTTAGAAAGCGCAAATCCGCTTATGAATTATAAAAATTAGTAAGACCGCTAAAGGCAAACTAAATATTTAGGTACGCAATTAGCGGATTTGCGCTTTAGCAGGCTGGTACCCACCACTGGAAAAGAGCATCAAACTCCATCAGAAAGACCACAACACACGGTGCTACGATTCTTGTAACACTCAGGTTACAGCCATCATCCCAACATGGAAGGAGTATTTTTGATCACTTTTCCCAAGCTAAGATGCTAGGCTAACTGCTGGATTGAGCGATGGGAAGAGCTGAATTTGATCAGAAAAAAGTGCAACCAAAGACTTAACGTCTGCTCCAAACATTTGATCAGAGGAAAAATCCAACACTGGACCACCTGGATCCTATCCCTGCACTTTCTGTTGATAAACAGGTACAATCAACCTCATTGTTTCTTACTGCTAGCTGCTCCTAGCACCGTTTATCTTTGTTTGTGTAAAACTCGGTCAGTGCGAACTGTAAAAACAGATAAGCATACGTAAACTCTGTAATTTTGAAAGTAACCCTCGTCTTCTCAACAACTCCAAGTCTTTTAAAACTCAAATGTTGGAAGCCATATAAGCGTGTCTCTGAATGTGTCCCAGCAGGACGAAGTCGTTTGAAATGTGTTAAAATTAAAACCCACGCGCCGCACGAGCTTTTTCTTGCTTTATTTCCAAACTTCAGCCCAACTCGCTCGAACTCCACTTGAAGGAGCTGCCAGTCAGCTGCGTTCTGCTGCTTTCAGGGACCTGACAGGCGCCGTGTTCCAGCGGACGGCCCAGTTAAAGGAACTCGTGATAACATGCAGCAGACAAACCGAATCGGCCGAGAGGATCAGAGGCTGCTCCTCAGAGCTCACACACCGACAGAGACGGATTACAGCTCAAGGTTCACTGCCACCCCACCCTCAAACCCCCTGAAACCCCCCACCTCAGGGATACATGGGCCGTGGTTAGTCCTGTCTCTGAATTAGTAGTTTGTTTGAAGTCAAACAGAAAGACAAAGGGCATGCTGGCACAGAATATCTGAGCAAGACACGATTATTTAGTTTTAATAATAACAGTGTTTACCTTTTAAATACAATCTACACACAAACACACTGTGTGTGTGTGTGGGGGGGGGTGTATTCTGTCTTAGATGCAGGTGTGGACAAAATGGAGTCGATTTTCAAAAGTCAGAAATCAATTTAAAGGGATAGTCTGGTTATTTTTGTAGTGACATC